CACTATCCTGGGATTTTAGGAACACAAGCACACACACTTGGCAATTTTCAAGCCACCAGGTCTGAAAACCGTAAGTGGGACTCTAGCACTTTAACCATCACACCACCTGCTGGTTCTCTTATTGTAACTCTTAATCTTCTCCTCCTCTGTTTTGTTTTGTTTTGTTTTGTTTTGTGTTCTGTTATTGTTGATCACATCATTAAGCTTCAGAGTTTTTATTTAATTGTTAGAAGTAGGGTCAAAGTACCACACAATGGGGCATTGTCACACTGGAGTTCTTTCTCCTCCACTTCTTCAGCCTATCAGGATTTTGGGCATGTACACTTAGACGCCTAGTGTATTTTTTTAAGTCACCAGTCCCAGGATTCAAATCGTGATTGGCCATATGCGATCCAGCTCCCTTAATCGCTAGGCTATGAGGCTAGACTTGCATTTCTTTACATTAATGCATTCAGTAATTTCCAAACTCTGGAGAAAAGTAAATCCATTAAACACTTAAAAATATATATATGCTTTGTATCCTCAGAGTTGTTTTGAGACAACCCATGGGTATCTGTAAAAAAGAAGAGAGTAATTTGCTTGCCACCTTACTGATGGTAACAAAGCTGTAAGGCCCACAACAGCCCCTCACTCACACACGTACAAAGAAGAACAGAGCAAGTGGGGTGCTGCATTGGCCCCCTAACTTCTGGCTCCCAGGAGAAACTGCTTTTAAAGATGGCGAACTTAAGACAAAGTCAACAGGCTGACAGACCAAGCTCTCCCAGTTGACTAGTTCTTCTCTAGTCACTCAGTCTAATGACATACTGTCCTGTCCCCCATATGAGAGCAGTCAGCACTGGGTCCCCAATAGTCAGAACACAATGCAGTTACCCACAGCTGATGAGTCCTCCTGCTATGGGGTCTTGGGATGTTTGCAGTCACTGCCACTGGAAAGGAGACAAAGTTCTTGAAATCTTTTCAGTGCTCCTTAACCTACTCAATACTGTCCTCTAGAGAAGTTGCTTAGATAAAGCTGTTTCTCATTATTCATGATAGTTATGCTCTATAAAGTCATTGCTAACAATGAAATAGCAAATACTGAACCATTGTTCCCAGGAGAAAAAAATACAGGGTTATGTAAGCCTTGGTCACAGTATTTTATCAACTAATCAATATAATAATGTCATTTTGGGGCTAGGCAGTGGCACAGTAACACAACTAGATCTATATGGAAAGGTCCTGGGTTTGTATCCTAGGACCTCCCTGAGCTCACTGAGCATGTATGCATGTCTGTGATCCAGGCAAGCTGAGCATGAGTGTGGACTATGGCAGGAAAACCTTGTTGGAGGAGTGGGTACCTGTCTCTTTCTCTTTTCTAGGAAACAGATGAATAAACTTTTATATCTCTCTATCTATCTATCGTTGTGTTTCTATCTATCTGTCAATCAATGTGTGTTCCTCTTTAAAGTTACTTTATTTAATATATATTATTTATTAACATTACACTCACAGTGAACATCACTATAACACATGCTTGAACCAAGCATATATAGCACTTGTATTAGGTCATGGGGAAAGTCATGATGTATCTTTCTATGTAAAAATGCATATTTCGTCATGATAAAATTTTTCCCAAGGTCTTTTTTTTTTTTTGAGAGATTTTTGCTATAGGGTGTATGTGCTCACTGGAGAGACAGAGAAAGAGACAGAGATACAGAAAGCAAGAAATTACCTCCTGGGGGGATAGCCACACTGCAGTCTCTTCTCTTCCATTCCTCTCTTGGGATTTTGGGCATGCATGCACATGCACCCAGCATGAGTTTCAAACCACTAAGTCCAGGACTCAAACTACGATCGACTGTGTAGGAGGCCAATGATGTAACCATTACATGATCTTCTGGTCCCCCAAGGCCTTTTAAAAACTATGGTAAACTATGCATAATATAAATATGTTTTTAAAATAATTTTTAACTGCATAGTTCAGTAGCATTAGTTATATTCACATTGTTGTGCAACTGTCACTACCATTTACCTCCAGAACTTTAACATTTTCCCAAACTGAAACTCCGTATCTCTTAGTATTAAACAATAACTGTCTATACCTCCACCCCCACACTGAGCCCCTAGCAATCACCATTCCATTAATACTTTCCATCACACCTTTCCTGTGCTTAGGAACACCAGGCAGCACTTCAGCACTATCTTGGGGGCCATTTTTAAATAGCAATATCAACCAAACAACCAAAGCACAAAATTGTAAGAAATATGGCCAAACATCACCAAAGCGATTGCAGATAGGGCACTTATTCGTAGTATGAGAGCTGAAATAATAAACTCTCATAATAACAAGCCCTGCCTTGTTTGCCCTCAGCAGGGAACTTGTGTCAGGAGCCTCATAGTTTTTGCTGTTCCATGCATGCTAATGAAACTGCAAGACACCAGAAGCACTGATTTTTATAAATACATTTTAGCAAGCAGGCATATTTATAAATACAGAATCCATGAATAATGAGAATTGACTGCATGTGGAAATGACCACCTTTGTTTATTTTTATCCAGATAGTAAGAATAAAGAGCTGAAACATGCAATAAGGTCACTTAGAACATTTTATTTATTTAGAGCCCTAAAGAGGTAGACTATGAATTGATAATTAGTAACTACAACCTAAAGCAGTTCTAATTCATGTGCAGTATAATGTTTTAGCCTAATTTCAACTCCCTCCACATGAAACGAAATGCAAACATTATCACTTACTATATGACAGGTATTATATTCAGAACGTTACATGCATTGTTAAATTATACCCCCCAGCCCTATAAATATCTAAAGGTAAGAGAAATTAAGTATCTTATCCATCACTATATAGCCACAAGTAGCAAAGCTGAGATTTGAACTTAGATCTGACTCTAGAGCTTGAGTTGTCAACTGCTATGTAAGTCTATGCATATTTTTATTTTATTTTATTTTATTTTGAGAGGTTTTTCGCTAAAGGGCACATGCACTCGCCAGACAGACAGAGAGAGACATAGAAACAGAAAGCGAGAAATCACCCCCCAGGAGGGATGGTCACGCTGCAATCCTTTCTCCTCCATTCTCCTCTTGGGATCTTGGGCACGCACGCACATGCGCCCGACGTGAGTTTTAAGCCACCGGGTCTGGGATGCAAACCGCAGTCAACTACGTGGGAGTCCAGCGACATAGCCATTATGCCAACTGCTGGTTCCCTATGCATATTTTTTAAGTCTGACTTCCCCAGAAGTCAGTGTGTTGCAACACTTATAATATTATAAAGATTTATACATTTAAAAATGATTTTGACAAACAAATAAAACTTTATAAGCCTGATGTAATGTTGCCCTGTAACAAAGAGCATTTGAAATCCTTAGGGCATCTGGTTTGTGTCTGGTTTTCCTTAATCTTTAATGATGGGCAAATCAAATGCATTATGTAAGGCCATTTTTTCTCAAGAGATGTAGATACCTCTTAAGAATTTGATGAAAATGCATTAATTTTTCAGGCTACTGAGTTGCATTTTAGTGCACTGAGGCAGTAAATTAGTGTACAGTGTGCAAAAACGGTAGTGACCTAAAAAATAAATATTTGATATGAGCCACTGCATTCTCTTGGAAAAGAAATAATAATGGATTAAATCTCCTAGGAGTCCTTAGCTTTCCCAAAAGGAGTAAGAAGACTAAATCTCCTGTGGCCTGGAAACATCTTCTGTTTCTGTTTGTTTAGCTCTTTAATAGTTCATTCGATTAGGTCTTGTGGCTCCCAAAGCTATGGTTGAGAGTTTGATCCCTACAGAGGTCACTTAAACTTGGAGAACAAAAAGCTCTATTCTCTGCTCCCAACTTTACCCTAAATCCCTGCCAGGTGTCTGCCCTCTGGTCAAAATGAAAAACTGGCAAAGGGGTGCAGATCTATCACAGTTTTGAGAAACAAAAGGGCACCCCTCTATACTGGTGCTCTTTCCTCTTGTATGTGCTCACAACATTGTGATATAGTTTATGGAGAACAAACCCTATACTTTTTACCTTTACCGTGGGAAATCTGAGGCAAACTGCAATAAGTGTTGCAATGCCAGTCCTAGAATCTTTTATCTTCTTATTCTCAGCTTGGAGATTTTTCTGCAATATTTTTCTGTTTATTAGAAGAGACCTATCTTCTGAGTAATATGAATCTGCATCTTTAGAATAGAAAATAGCATAATAGGGATCAGTTAAAAATAGAGCATAATTCCCATTAATGAAAGACATTAAACTATTTAAAAATAATTCCATGCACATAACATTATACTAATGATGATTTTCAACATGTGCCAAGAATTTAGTCAGGAAAACAGGTTTCTCAAATTATAGATGAAGATCTTTTACTAGTGTTGCAATCTTTTATTTTAATTAAGGCCATTCTAATTTTAACTTCCCTAATTATATAGCACTAAAAATAATTTAATATGACAAATAAAAAATATTTTTATTTCAAATGCTAGCCTAAACTACAGAAAATTTTAATTTTGGAAGAAGCAACATTTCATATTTTAAGTATGAAGCATAAATTAAAATGTACTCATTTGAATTTTAACTTAAGAGTTTCATAAAGATAAAGAAGCCTTAAGTACAGTTTATATTATTGTTAACCTAGACTTTACTTTTTCAAAGATCACATATATCTTTCATTATTTGTGATTTATCTCTTTTATGAAGTAGTCAAATGAATCAGCTCACCCTTGACTGTAACAAAATACTGTTTGGTGACTTGTGACAGACAGGGTTTTAACCTCTGACAGCGAGATTCATTGTGGAGCAAGAGCCAATCATAGGTCCTGACGACACTTGTCTCATCCAAGTTGCAATATAAAAAGCCACTTGGCATACAGTATAAAAGACTCACTGGTGTGGCAAGTTGTCTCTCAGACGTGCATGCATTAAAATCTTGCTTGGCGTTACTCAAAAGCAGAAACCACGTAAGAGGAAGGAACAAGAGCAAGGAAAAAGATTGTATTGATTTTAAAATCATGCAAAACCTGCAAATCTATGTTTATATTTACCTGTTTATGCTGATTGTGGCTGGTCCCGTGGATCTAAATGAAAACAGTGAGCCAAAAGAAAATGTGGAAAAAGAAGGGCTGTGTAATGCATGTACTTGGAGACAAAACACTAAATCTTCAAGAATAGAAGCCATAAAAATTCAAATCCTCAGTAAACTTCGCCTGGAAACAGCTCCTAACATCAGCAAAGATGCTATAAGACAACTTTTACCCAAAGCTCCTCCACTCCGGGAACTGATTGATCAGTACGACGTCCAGAGGGATGACAGCAGTGATGGTTCTCTGGAAGATGACGATTATCATGCTACCACGGAAACGATCATTACTATGCCTACAGAGTGTAAGTAGTCCTGTTAGTGTATATCAACAGTTCTGCTGACTGTTGGTCTAGTGTTTATGAGAAACAGATCTATTTTCAGGCTCTTTTAACAAGCTGTTGGCTTGTATATAGATAGGAGGAAAAAGAGTTTCTTTTTTTTTAAAAAAAAAACTTATGAGTGATAAACTAATTTGATTGAAATCTGCTGCATTATTTGTTTCTTTATGGAGCTCAAATGCTAAAAACTAAAACGCCTGCACAGCATTAATGGTATCTAGTATAAGGCAAATATAACATGCTTATGCTTTCACAGCTCAATACCACCAAGACAAGGGCTGGCAAATGCTAGCAATGTTAAAAACATCCGTAAAATTTTATAATTGCATTTGGTTGTCTAAAACATGCATTTATAATAAGGGTTTTTTTTCCCCAAAAAAAGAGAAAGGAAGAAATTTGCTACACATTCAAGCTTATTTAAGCACTGCTGAACACCTAGAGTGATTTCTGTTATTTAAAATAATCTCTCCAAGTGCTTGCTGTTCTTTCCAAATGGCGATATTTAATTTTGAAAGCTATTGCACTAAAGAATACAAAACAATATTTTAATGTATTTTTTAACAGCACTGATGAAGTAAATGGCATAATGATAACCACAAGCTAAACATCAAAATTAGAAAATGCCTATGAAATAAACATTCAATCGGGTGGGTTGTGGCTAGTGAAGTCCTATCTGTACTCTGACAAGGGTATTATTGTGGAGAGTACCTAGTCTGTCTGTTTCCAAGCAGGCACATTACTTAATAACCTTGCAAAATATGTTATTCTTAATGAAAGGAAGGACTATTACCTGTAGTAGCAGCATTGCTTCTGAAAGATCATATATAGCACACAATTTCTTTTGCAATGGTCTCGAAAGAATACTTTCTCCAGGAAACGGTGACAGGCACCTTGGAGGAGAAGGCATGGCAAGAAAGATTGTATACCATGTGTCTGCAATCTTGCTTTAATACAATGCTTTCTACACATTGAACCAAACTAGAAACAGTTTCAAAATACTGTTTTCTTTATTAAGTAATCAGGTTACAGTGTAACATATAATTTGGATTTAGGACTCTGCCATCAAGTAGTTCTGGAGTAGCTTTATCTTATTTGTAGACAATTTTGGAAAAGCAAAGGGAAAGAAGAAATTGTAAGTGCTTGTACTTTCAGCCTGGCCCTCAAGACAATGCTTTTTAACTTTTGAGAAGGCCTAAATATAACATCTGAATTTTTGTGCTAATTACCTGCTCACTTTTGTTCCTGTAAATTGTGAATCCAGAGCCAAAACCTAACAGATGTACTATATTTTCTACTAATTTCCAAGGCTCGGTAGGTTTCTTAGTATGCTTGTCCCCAGGTAATTCAGGACTGGGGGAAGGGTTCCTTCTTCCAGACTGATTGGTACAGCTGCTCAGTAAGTGTAACTACTCAGATTCCCAAAGAATTCTAAGTGGATGTTCCTCCACAGTGTCTCTTGTTCTCTCTAATCATCATCATTTTAAAATTTCATCCACTGTTCATTTCTTCATAGAACTTTAGTCCACAGTTCTCTGGGAAGGGGAGGGCAGTAGGTTCCTCATGAACAGTTGAAAATACAGATACCTACCAAATTCTAAAAAGCTAGAATTTTCTTTGATATTTTTTTCTGTGTTATAAATGAAACTATACATAGTATTTCATTTTAAAAAAGGCAAAAATGTACATATAATATCCCAGTGTGTATGTGTGTATGTGGGGGGAAATGCACAGCTATTAATATGGAAAGGTTTTGTTCATTTTTAAAATGAGAAATACTTTTAGTAATCAATTTCTTATTCATTTATAGCTGATTCTCTAATGCAAGTGGAAGGAAAACCCAAATGTTGCTTCTTTAAATTTAGCTCTAAAATACAGTACAATAAAGTAGTAAAGGCCCAACTGTGGATATATCTGAGACCCGTCAAGACTCCTACAACAGTGTTTGTGCAAATCCTGAGACTCATCAAACCCATGAAAGACGGTACAAGGTATACTGGAATCCGATCTCTGAAACTTGACATGAACCCAGGCACTGGTATTTGGCAGAGCATTGATGTGAAGACAGTGTTGCAAAATTGGCTCAAACAACCTGAATCCAACTTAGGCATTGAAATCAAAGCTTTAGATGAGAATGGTCATGACCTTGCGGTAACCTTCCCAGGACCAGGAGAAGATGGGCTGGTAAGTGATAACTGAAAATAACATTCTAACAACCTTGGTATGGCTTTATTCATAATGTGAATGAGTAATAGTGGAAAATAACTAGCAATTTTCTATGGCCATATGCCACACAAAGGTATCTTTCTCCAATGGTAGCCCTGTACCCAATAAAAGTAGGTGTCCAATTTCATATCCTATGAAATACTCCCTTGATACTTACCTGGCATGAGAATTTTAAAAACAATCATAGTATGGTTCTTGACTTCTTAAAGAGTTCTTTTGAATTAGGAATGAAATATAAAGTGGTTTTCATTGAGATGGTACATGATTATATGAATTAAAATATGAATTCTATATAGAGTGAGTGCTCATAAACAGCTAAACACATCAGAATTGTTTTTTCCTCTCAGAGAGGTGCCAAATGTGTTGAAATTTTTTTGGCTTAACATAAAGCAGAAAGAAAACTTTAAAAATTATAAGCAAAGCACTTTTACTTATGGCAATTAACTAATAAGTCTGATATGTATGGGCCTATACTTTATTAAATGTATTATATTTGAGGCTTCTCCTGATAAATATGTTCACTGACAAGGATGCTGATGAACTAAAGGGACTTCAAAAAAGTTCATGGAAAACTGGAATTTAATTATGAGTTTATTTTGGTGCAAAACACTTCTGAAATCCAAATGTAGTTTTTTTCCCCATAATTCTACATGTTCTATAAATCTTTTGAATACCACTTAAACATATAGATTATTCATGGTATAACCCTATTAAAATTTAAACTTCCAGGCTAGTTAACCTTTGCCACCTAGCTTATTTCTGAGCTGCCTTCACATTCTTGTATAAGAGTTTATTTACTTAGGGAATGCCAGCTAATTTAATATCAGGTCACATAGATGACAATACATCATAAAACATAATAAAAGCCATTTTGAAACCAAGTGTAAACTTAAGGTAATTCTTTTGGCTTAAGTAAGCTCTATTTACTTCTGTTTTCAAAAGCATTTACTTTAAGAATATCTTTTTTTAAAAAAAATTATTTTATTTAATTTTTAAATTATTGTTATTATTATTATTAATTTGACCAGAGAAAGACAGAAAGAGTGAGAGAGGGAAAGTGAGAAAGCAAGTCTCTAGGTCTGGGACTCAAACCGCAGTTAACCATGTGGGAGTCCAGCTTCTTAACCACTACTCCACCTGCTGGCCCCTGAGCATATCTTTTTATTTTCATTCATCTATTAAATATTGTGAATCAGATCTACCTGAAATAAAAACACATTCTCTAATTATTCAATTTACTAAATGCTCTATTTTTCTTTAAATGTTAATGACACCCAGAATGATGATATTCTTTTTGGCAGTCCTAAATAGCAATAACTACCATGTCTATTTTCTTTCCCTTCTTTTTTTTTTGAGAGAGATTTTTGTTATAGGGCACGTGCACTCAACAGACAGACACAGAGAGAGAGACAGACAGACACAGAGAGAGAGAAAGGCAGACAGAAAGTGAGAAATCATCTCCGGGGGGGGGGGATGGTCATGCCAAAATCCCTTCTCTGCCATTGTCTTCTTGGGATCTGGGCACGCAAGCACACATGCCTGGCGCGAGTTTTAAGCTGCTGGATCCGGGACTCAAACTGTGGTTGACTACATGGGAGTCCAGTGACGTAACCATTACGCCATCCTTATTTTTATTTTAATACAGGACAAAACTATCATCAATTATTTAAGAAAGTGTTAGTTTTTATAGGTAGCACTTTAAAAAGTTATTAATGTGACAAGTCTTAATTATTAATAAATAGGTAGTTAATATGATATATTCCTTTGATTTTTCCATATAAGACAAAATAAAGTCTAAAATGCATTGAAAAATTGGGGCAGGAATTAAGCTAACAAATTATTATTTAAGTATCTGAATAGAAACATTTTTTCTGTGAAAAAATAAGGGAATATTATCTCTTCTGAATCTCTTCTTCTCTCAGTAGTTCTTCTTTCAACTCAATTTACATATCATCAGTTTTAGCACCTTACCTCCCTTATTCCCATTGCAATCCATCCATATAGTACTGGGAGGTAGTTATTTTAATCTTGTCTTTGTTGTTGTTGTTGTTGTTGTTCCATGATAGGGAGTACATACATATGAGAGAGAGTGAATAGAGAAGGCAGCATTGACAGGGTCTTGCCACACCCCAATTCCCTTTGCTCAGCCCTCTGGCTCCTCAGGATCTTTTTAGGCCTAACTGGGGAACTGAACCTACAGTCACCATGTGGCTTCCAGAACTGCAATCCATTGTGATAGAAGCTGCACCACCAGGCTGGGTCTGCTCTTGCTTTACATACAAGTTTTCCTGAATAAAGACCTGTGGAGCAGAGGATGGATAAGTATACCAATTCCTCAAGGAATTGTGAGACATATTTAGCCAACATAGTTAAACAGGTACAAAGACAGGGAGCTCGTTTCTTCTCTCCTTCTCTCACTATCCTTTTCTCCCCCTCCTCCTTCTTTCCTGTCCCTTCCTTTCTTTCCATAAATATTTTCAAGGTATCTATTATGTATCAGGTATTCTCAAACTTGGAAAAACAAAAATAAAAAATATATCAAACTGACCTTGGGAGAAATTGTATGGTTACTATATTTTTGAGCCCTAGTGGGGAATTGGGGCCTAGTGCAAACGAAAATTTCTGTATGTGTGTTTTTTAAAAATAAATATGGTACAAGCAAAACGATTAGTTTCTTTCTTTGCTAATAACTTCTTAAGTTAGGAAAGTTTTTCAGAGTCTATTAATATTACTGATTGCTCCTTATTTTTCACACAGAATCCGTTTTTAGAGGTCAAGGTAACAGACACGCCGAAAAGATCAAGAAGAGATTTTGGTCTTGACTGTGATGAGCACTCAACAGAATCACGATGCTGTCGTTACCCTCTAACCGTGGATTTTGAAGCTTTCGGTTGGGATTGGATTATTGCACCAAAAAGATATAAGGCAAATTACTGTTCTGGAGAGTGTGAATTTGTATTTTTACAAAAATATCCTCATACTCATCTTGTACACCAAGCCAACCCCAGAGCTTCAGCAGGCCCTTGCTGTACTCCCACA